TATACTTTTTCTATATATATATATATATATATATATATATATATATATATATATATATATATATATATATATAAAGACAGACATATTTTTATCTATCACTATCACTTTATATCGATGCAAAAAAAAAATAGTTTAAAAATGGTTGACGAGACGTTATACAAGTAAAAATTTGATTATTTATCTTAGCTATATATATATATATCGCGTGATATATAATTAATGTTGCAACTTCCCACCCGTTGCTTTCCTTAGCATTTTATCACCGACATCAATGGCATATATATATATTGTATATATTTGTTTGGATGGGTAATAATAATACATTAGAATAAAGAAATATCTTACATCGGGTAATAATTTCATATATCTAATTACCAACGCTACAGATATGGGATATTACCTGTGCACGTCTTGAGCTATGATTATAATCTTTTTCTTGCAGACATTTTTGGACCACTTAGTTTTAACCCCATTATACATATACATGTACACCAAATTTACATATACATGTATATATTTCCGAATTTGGACCAAAATATCAACTAACCGGGAATAAAAAGAGAATATCGCAGAATAAGGGTACAATCAGTGATATATATATATATATAAATGAGTATTACCCGCGAATTAGTCCATATTTTTTTATCTAAATTCAAAAAATTCGAGTAAAAAAAAAAAAAAGGATCGAACGAGTTGGTTCACAAACCAAGATTTTTTTATATTAATTTTAAAAGATTTATCGTTTTCTAATATTTTTATTTTAAAATATTTTTACTATTTATTATTATATTTTATATTTTTATTTGAATTAATAAACCGACTCATAAACTCGGACGACCTGAGACGAGTCAAATCGATTTGGGTTGAGCCGAACCGAACCGAATTAACCCGTTTTACATCGCTGGGTACAACTTGGTCCAAAACCACGATTTAAATTAAACTAGGAAACCGCACCATTGAGTGTACTATAAGCAAATTTTATTTTTTTTATTTATAAATTTCCGTGCTGCAGCTATGGTTATTTCATGTGTTTTATAATAATTACTATATCATACGCATACCAAAATTCCATCGAATGTATATATGTACAAGAATATTGATTGTCGACATCGGTGTTCGAGATGTTTAGTGTTTCCCCGACATTGTTTACGTCCTGATTTATCGACTGAAAATACATATAGTATCGACAAATGCAAATGTCATAAATAGTTTATATACATAACGAATTCTCTAAATAGATTTCCAAATATTTTGTGTAAACTCAATCATAATAATAATACATGATTTGAGGTTGGACTGTTTTAAAATTTCGATACAAATATTTTCATAATATATTTCGACTAGAATGTTATAAATTATTTACTTTCGAGCTAGTGTATAATTTGTTAAGGGGAGTGAAATCGAAATTAATTGCCGATGACCTCCCGCTGCTCATTATCTGTATATTTGATTATTTTCCGTTTGAAATAATCATCTTTGTTTTTATATATTGAATTATTTATAGGGTTTGTATTTGTAGGATAAGTACATAACTACTAAAAGGATATAAGAAACAAAAAAAAAATATAACAAACCAAATGGGAAAAATATAACAAAATAATTTAATTGTTTTGGGACCAATTTAAAATAAATTTGAGTGGAAGCTTTTTTAATTAACCCATTTGCTCCAAACATTAAACATTTTGGAGTAATTAACAAAACCTTTATTATGATCCTCACTCTAATTTGTCACGTATGATGTGTTCTTGGGATATATTATAAGATTAAGAATATTGGTTAGCATTTAAGACCATAAATTGGTACTAAAATATACCCGTTATTCCAAGGCATGAATTAATGGTATTAAGTTAACGTCTATGTAACGGTGTTACTCATCCCATCAAAATGCGTTAGGAGTCGATTAAAGATTCCACGTGTCGAAATTGTTAATAATGGTTGATTTGAAGCAATCTACAATAACGATAAACTAATGACACTTCACAACAACAAAAAAAAGTTATGAGATGATATATATATATATATATATATATATATATATGTGTGTATGTGTGTGTGTGTATGTATATGTGTATATATATACACATACACGTACGCCATGGTCTAGATTCTGGACTAGCATAATCGTGTGTAGGCTTCGAATGTACAAAAAGTTGTCGACAATTGATAGTAAATACATGTTTAAATTAAAATAATTAAGGGGAGTGGTTACATGTAGTCCAAGACGTAGAAAAAGAACGGAAATAATAATTGCGGAGCAGTAATAGAATGACAACAATAATTCAATAATGTTTTGAATCTACGAGTACATCATCATCATCATCATCATCATCATCATCATCATCATCATCATCATCATCATTCCAGGTCAAGTTGAAGAAACTCTCCATAACGTCATTAAATTTTTATATCAACCCACAAAACAGTGACAGAGAGTTTCTCTCTCAGATTACCCAATATATCCGTCAACTTCTCCTTCATTAAAACCAACACAGACCCACGGAGAGAGAGAGAGAGGGAGATGGGGCTTCATATCCGAAATATAACAGAGTGATGAGTTCATCTTCCTCATCAAGCTCTTCTTCTCTGTCCCCGTCTTCTTTTTTCTCATAGATTCACTTTCTTTCTCTGTGTGATGCTGATGTTGAAGTTTTCCGGCGGCTGTCAGAGGATTCTGGCGACGTTCGCGGCGGTGCTGTTGATGGTGTGCCTGTTTCAGATTTGGCTCTTCAGGGCAGG